GGCCCCCAACCCACATGAGGAGTCAGCCCCTTTCCAGCTAACAACTATAACCCTCCAACTCCACCCTGTCTTTCTGGAGCCAAGGGGGACACGAGAGACTGTCATCACCCCCAACACTCACCGTGTTTCTGGGAGGTCACCTGAAACCCCATCTTCCGAATGAGTGCTTTTTAATTTTCAAAATTCTTTCCCACCATCCTCTCCGTTCACTTGAGACTCTCTGGGGAGTACTGGCTAAGCCCTGATTACCCTCAGTTCTCGCTCCCCTGAGGGATGACAGAAGCCAGGGCCCAGAAAGGTGGCCACTTTTCCAGCTTATATGGATGCAGCCAGGAGAGCACTTGCCTCCTGTTCCCCTGTCTGAAAGGTGCTACACACCCTGAGTGGCCATGGTCTCCTGGAGAATGAGGAAAGAACATCATTTTGCCTGGGGCCTGCCATTACCTCCTGGGCAGGTTGGGGCCTTGGAAGGCAAAACCAAGAGGAGAGCAGAGGAAGGGTGAAGGGGACAGGTGAGGATGAGCTCTGAGTCACCAGATGGTGAGGGCCCACCTTATTACTGGAGTTGTGACAAGCCTACGTTGGAATCAGTCAGTGGCAGAAGGGCAAAGAAGGAAACTGGGTTTTCTTGTAAATAAGCACAGAGAAACCCCAACCAACAGCGTTGCAAAACCTTTCTTTTTTTCCCTCCCTCTTCCTGATTTCATCTCAAATGGAGGGGGCAGTGAAAAGAAAGGAATTGAGGAGAAGGGGCTGACAAAATTGCTATGGCCCCCGCCCCTTAATTGGGCACTTGCTCAAGAAAGGGATTAGTTGGCTGGTTGGAGCCCAGTCCTAACTGGGCTAACATTGTGAGTTTGAGTCCTGTGGATAGCTTAATTCCACTCTGCACAGGACTACAGACTGGATCTCTGACTCTGGTCCTGTGGCTCTTAAATACACGCCACTGGTCACATGGTGAAGCAGGCACATTCACTGCTTGATGACTCTTAGCTGGAGGAGGGGCTGTTTTTAAGGAGAGGGTACAGCTGTTCCTGGGGTAGTTTCCATTTTGTTTGTGGTTGAGGGGGAGGGGTGTTGAGGGAGTGGGAAATTGCATGAAGGAAATTGTCACTTCCTTTCCAGAGAATTCCAGAAAGGTTTCATGGAGGACAAGGTATTTCAGGAGTGAGAGTTGGCTCAGAGGGGACAAGGGACTGGAGAAGGAGAATTGTGCTCTGTGGCCCTGCTGACCATCTGGCCCCCATGTTTCCTGGCATGTGAGAAAATGCCACGGGTGTTACCAGCAATTCTGTGAGAGCCATTGGCTCAGCTCAACGGGTGTAGGTTTAAACTTACTCCATGGAGACTGTGGACGTGGCTTTCACATCAGGGCTGTTTCCTGTAGGGGAGGCCCAGATGGGTGGGCGCTGGACACTGCTTGATATGTTCCAGTGACAGCCCCAGGAAGGGTCTGTACCTCTGCAGGAGGCCCAGTTGTGGTGATGTAGAAGCAGCTCACACCACTTCTATTTTGCTTTGGTTTTGAAATGCAGTCAGAACCACAGAGAGCTAGAGGTGCATTTGCTGGCTGGGGACAGAGGGGTGCTCTGCCATTAGCTCTTTCCTGCACTGTACACTCAGCAGCCTCCAGGGGCCATATAGTCTCACAAAGACTTCACTTTCAGCCCCAATAGGTCAGACCATGGGGGTGGACTTTGAGTGGAGCCAGCTGTGAGCTGTGCAGTGGTGGGGCAGGGTGGCAGGGATTCACCACCAGTTACTAAGGGTTCCCTGGTACTTCAATTCCCTGTCTGTATATTCCCTGGCCCCCACCCCCACCCCGCTGCTTGCCAGCAAAGCAGTGTCCAATGCTGTAGGTCACTGAAGCTCTATCCCAGGCGCTCTTGGAAGGACCCTGGAGAGAGGTGCCCCTAGTGTGGGCCTCTCCAGGCCTCCAGCAGGGCGGGCCTTCTGTGGTGGTGGCTTTTTTGGTTTCAGGTTCCTGGGAGAGGGAGGTTATTTTGAGGGACTGGGGGAGAGTAAGTGAACATGCAAATGTGCCTCTCTCCACCTCTCACTTTCAAATCCTCAAACATCTTTGAAGGGGGAGGGGGAAACATTCTGGACTAGAAGGTTCCATGGAGGGGGGCAGGTTTCTTACCTTTGGCCAAGAGACTAGGACAGCTACTTCTTCCCCCTACACCCCTTGAACTTAGCTTCAGGCCCCGGAGCAGAATGAGACCCAAAGAATCCATCTCCCAAAACCTCACAACTGTGGGCCACTAGAACCTACACTAGTGAAATCCCAAATTTAGATACTTAAACATGGGCACACAAATAGTGCCACTGAAATCTCTTTTACTTCGAATCTCTCCTCTTTGTATTTGATGGCCAAGAGTTTCAGCCAATCCAGTGGCATGCCCTGGCTGCCTCCCGACCCAGCAGAGTGGACCACTGTGGGGGACTTGCCTCAGGGATCCATGGGCCCCATACCTATTCTGAGGCTATTCTCTTGGGAAGCACAGAGTAACAGTGACCCTTCAGCCAGCAGAACCCTAGCCCTCCCCCATCTTCACCACAACCTCTTTGAGCCAGCTATAGCCTGGGCTTCTCATTCTCACAAAGGTAGTTGAGGCCACTGGTCCCCAGAGGAGGAAGAACTGATGACTGAGCTTGTGGCTTTGCTGGCCAGACCAGGGCAGCCCTTTGACTTACTGACACTCTCACGCACAAATCCCACTCTTGGGACACAGGCACACACCCTGTACATGTGTATACCTGCTGTGTGTTTGCACACCCACAGCAAGCACAGTAGTGCAGCCATGTAACAATGCAAACAAAATATACTAATGTTACCTCGGGGTTTGCATATTTGTCCCATTCTTTTGTAAGACAAAAGTACATGGTACCTACAGGCCCTTCGTGTACACACAGTTACACACCACCCAGAAAACACACCTCACAGATGCCAACTGGCCAGTCCCATTCATTCATCATTTCTTTCTTTTGTTCCCTCCCTCTTGTGTTCATTCCACAAACACGAACTGAGTGTCTGCTTGTTGCCAGGCACAGGGCAGGATGCTAAATTTTCCTCTATGACCAACAGGCAGCCACTGTCCAACGGGGGACGAAGGAAGGTGCATACGAGTTCCCTAGGCGATGAACACATGCAGTGAACTTGCAAAAGTGAAATTCTGGTCTGCGAAGAGAAGCCAGCAAGAAGCCAACCTGGAAGGAAGGGCCATAGCGGAATGACCTTGGGGGAGGGGCAGACAGAGGAGTTTCGTGTTTAGACAAAGTGGGATTAGGTGAAAGTGATCACCTTTCATTTGATTAGTATGAGAATGTTTCCTGGGGGCAGACAGACAGGCCTGTGGGAGGGTGGGGAACTGCGGAATGCAGGCCTTGGGGCGCTTAGGCTAGGGGAGACAGACCTTCCAAGCATAAATGGCCCTGTGAGACCTTGCAGGATACTGGGAGACCTGGTCACATACAGGGCCAGGTGGGAGTGGGGCAGGGTATGGGGGATGGAACCAAGACAAGACCCTTGTTTCCAGGTGCCTCCCCTAGGTCCTGCTGGGGATGGACCTCCAAGGCTCAATTTCTCATTCATCCAAAGGGAAACTCAGACTGACAGGTTGCAATGAGCTGAGTGACTTCTCTGGCTTTTTATTGGGGTGGGTGGAAAGGTGTAGGGGTGGGGAGAGGGCGGGGCCAGCCCTGTGGCCTAACAGAAAGGAAGTGGGAGAGGCATGGGTGTCTCCTGTGAGGGAGAGCGGTCATCAGGGAGGTCACCCGTGGTCCCCCTCCCTTTCCTCCCCCTTGCCCCTCTCTGAAGTTCCTCATTTCTTTCCAACCCAGGACAAGGTTCTGCCACCCTGGTACTGCCCAGGGAGTGTCAAGGAGGTGGGATTAAGAGTGTCATTCTGACTATGGTGCACAGTCACAATTCTTCAGGTGCTTATGGGTTAATCAGGCTGTTGGGGCACATCCACACAGTGAAAACATCACACACTCCAAATGAACCTGAAGGGCCAAAGACACAAAGACATACTCCTACCTGGATGGTACAGACGCCCCAGTGTTCTGGGGCAGAGAAGCAGCAGAGCAGGCTGTCAGGAGGGAGGTCGAAGGGGGTGGGGAGAGGGCTTTGGAAGGTGGCCATGGGTGTAACCCAGCGTGGAGGAGCTGCTAGGGTGCTGACAGTGAGGAGTGGAGGCAGGGGAAGTGGCCCAGATGCCATGTGAGCATGGGGACATTCGGATGAGGAGAGATGTGTGTGGGCTGAAGCAGAGATTTCCTGGAAAAGGGGCCCTGAGCGGGCCCTGGAGGCTGGGGAAGGTTCTGCTGGCCCCTCCCCCCGGCCAGGACTCTCCTCACAAGTTCCCAGGGTGACAGTTCAGTCTTGAAACTGAAAGCAAAGCTGAACCAAGAACAAACCCACACACAGCACAGAGGCCACCCTCTCTGGCTGGTGGGGGAGGGGCAGGGATGCTAACAAGCACGCAAGGCATGTGGCCCACCTGTCCCTCTGTCTCCAGGCTCTGTAGACACAGCCAGGTCTGAGAGTCTTCTCCCTAAGAGCAGGGTCTGGCCACCCCTGGCCTTGACACCACAAAACCCCGCACAGTGGGACATTTCTTCCTCTGTAGAATGCCTCTTGGAGCTAACTGGCCTGTACTCCCAAGGTAAACTGAGCCTCAGGAACACCCTGCAAGTTCCCATGTCCTGTCACACCCCCTCACAACTCTTTCCCAAACCAAGGGAGTTACAGGGATTCTTCACACTTCTGCCCCACTTAGAGGGACAGATGCTGGTGACCCTGACAGGCACTGAGGCTCAGCCGTTTCCTCTTCCCTCTTCTTCTCCCATTGCCTCCCCCTCTCTTTTAGCTGTCCCTCTCCTTGTGGCCTGTGCTGTGCTGGCACAGCAGGGACCCTCAGGTTGGCCAGCTGTCCCAACCACAGAGTTCAAGGCAGGTGACTTACTCAGAGTCTCCATCTCTCCCTTCTCCCTAGGTTGCCCCTGCAGTTGGCCCAGCCCAGCATGCAGCCTTGAGCTTGGCATAAGCCACCACTCACTCCAACTTTCTACGTGTCCTTCTGTGGCTCAGCGGAGACTCTCACCTCAAGGTACCTGAACAGCATCTCTTTATCAAGAAAGTGCTGCAGCTACAGAGAGCCCGGGAAATCCCGCTGTCGGCTCTGCTCTGGGAGAAAACAGTATGGCTATTACCCTGCAACCCAGTGACCTGATCTTTGAGTTTGCAAGCAACGGGATGGATGATATCCACCAGGTATGACCCCAGAGAATAAAGCACAATCAGCCAAGGGAATGGACAGGAAGGCAGGCAGATAGCCAGTGAGCCAGATCGCAAGTATCCATCAAGCACCTACTATGTTCGGGGCACTTGGCCTGCTTGCCAGTCAGCATGTGCACCAGATGTTCACTCACACAGCCAGTCAGTCATCCCTGGACAGTCATTTAGGGATCTGGTTGCCCACATGGGGCTCATACAACCACCAAACCAGCCAAGCAGCTGCTAGGTCAATCAGCTGAACTATCAGCCAGTCAGCAGCAGGGACTGAATGCATGAAGTGTACACTGACAATCATGCGGGTTTGGGGCCACTACCTTTCACCTTCAGTGTCACAGCAAGGAAATAGCTAGGACAACCACAGAGTAAGAGGGGCCACTGCCAGCTGGAACTGCAGGGTGGAGTCCAAGTCCTGGCATCTGCAGACTTATGACTGCAACCCAGTTGATGGGCTCTCCATACCGTCTTCTCAGCCTCAACCTGAAGATTCAGAAAAACTGGAAATGTGTTCTTTTGGTGGAAGGAAGTTGGAAATAGGATAGGATAGGCACTCTGTTCCCTTGTGTTCCATACCTTGTGATGCACTGGGGCTAAGAGGGCACATTTTTCCATGCACTTGGATGTCCCCACTGGATGATATCCTGGAATACTTATCAGTGCTCTCCCCATCTCCACCTTCCACACAGTGGAGAAAGAAGAGGTAGCCAGGTATGGTAGTAGGAATGGAAGAGGGGGAATCAGGAACCCTAGGTTTTGATCCTAGTATGGTCACAGTGTCACCTGGCCAAGTCATGTCCCCTACCATGTCTGGCTGCCATCTCCCCTTCTTTGCCAAGAGGATATCTAGCTGAATTATTTCTCAGGACACACCAGCTTAACTCTGATGCTCTATCCTAAATCCTTGCAAGGATGGAAAACCGTCCCATATCTGGCAGCCTACCAAAGGCTGCCCTCTAATGGGCCTCGAGTGCATTGCACCCACAATCCGGTTGCTTCTTTTCCAAGGTTGTTCAATTTTATTGAACTCTGCTGTGCCTAGTCTTGTGGAAGGCATCAGATGAGAAAGGAAGAAATATCTGTCCTTAACTGGATTCTCCATGCTACTTCCCACCTTTCATCCCTTTCTAGTGTGCTCGGCAACTGTTTCTGTTCTTCACAGAGGTTATTCTGCCCTCCCAACCTCCACCCTCAGCAATCTCTCCAGTCCATAAAGAAGCCGAAAGCTAAGGATGCCTTTAAGTTCCCTCCCTTCTCACCTTTATCTAAAACTTTCCCATTCTTATTTCCTTCTCACTGACCTGGCAAAATGATGTATCCCTCTTCCTTCCCAGGGTAATGTCTACCCCTGTACCTTATCTGTTCTTTCTTGCTTTATTCAAAACCTCAAACCATCAATCACTTTTCCTGTTCCTTATCCCCCACCCACTGTGCCCACCAGCCCTCCCTCTCCCACCTAGTCCCCACTCGTCTTTCCAACCTCCGAGATCCTCAGATCCTCTTCTTCAGTTTGAACGTCTTCAGGTCTCTTCAACCCTAAAAGAAAACCTTTACTCCCTTCTAACCCCTTCCTTCAGAATACCACCATCTTAGGTCCTTTCTCTCCCAGTCCCAAGATAGTCTCCACCCTCTGCTTTTACTTTCTTTACCACCCTTTCATTCTTCTTAGGAAACAATTTTGGTTGTGAAATGAGTACAAAAGAGTGCATAAACCATAGATAGACTATAAAATGAACACATGTGTTCTTACTACCCAGGTTAAGAAATAAAATATTACTCTTCTCCTAGAAGTGGTTGATACCTAACACTTAGGAGAACTTACTCTGTACCAGGCCCTGTTCTGAGTGCTCTGTGTGTGCTGATCTATTTAAACAACCCTAAGGTATCAATAACATGAGTATCCCAATTTTATAAATGAGGAAACTCACACACAGAAATATTAGGCAACTTTCCCAAGGTCATACTGCCAGTAAGTACCAGAGCTGGTTTCAGACCTAAGTAGTCTGGATCTACATCAGCACAATCCAATACAATTTTCAAGAATGCTGGAATGTTCTGTATTTGTGGTATCTAGTATAGGGTCACTAGTCACATGTGGCTATGGAACACTTGAAATGTGTCTAGAGCAGTTGAAGAAGTGAATTTTTAATCTTTTCAAAATTTTCATTTACATTTAAAGTCCTCCTTGGCTAGTGGCTTTCATATAGGACAGCAGAGCTCTAGACACTGTGGCCTTAGTCACTACACCTGATGCCTGCCTGAGTTCATCCTCATATCTTTTGTAACCTGTCCTGGGACACTCCACTCCAGCACTGCTCTGAAACCACTCCAGCAAGGGAAACTGCCCAGTGGTCAAATCCAAAGATGTTTATAAGTTTTCACTTTTCTGAATCTGCCAGAAATATTTGACAGAGGGAACCATTCCCATTCTTTTTTAATGAAGCAAATTTTAATGTCTCATTGAAAGAAAATTTGAAAAATACAGAAAGGTAGAAATAAAAGGGAAAAACCATCCTAAGTCCCACAACCAAAATATAACTATTATTACCATTCTGGTGTATTTTCTCTATATAGAACTTTTTTTTGAAAGAGAGAGGAGAGAGAGAGAGAGAGAGAGAGAGAGAGAGAATTTTTTAATATTTATTTTTTTTAGTTTTTTGGCAGACACAACATCTTTGTTTGTATGTGGTGCTGAGGATCGAACTCAGTGCCTCACGCATGCCAGGCCAGCGTGCTACCGCTTGAGCCACATCCCCAGCCCGAGAAATTTTTTTTTGACTGTGGTGCTGGGGATTGAACCCACATCCTGGGCCATGTGAGGCAAGTGCTTTACTCCTGAGGTAACTCCTCAGCCCACTATATAGATTTTTTTTAAGAACAGGGCTCAGAATATAGCTCAGTGGTAGAGCTCTTGTCTAGTATGCCCAAGGCCCTGGCTTCCATCCCTAGCACCAAAAATAATAAACTAGACATAGTAGCACACACCTGAAATCCCAACAACTGGGGAAGCTGAAGCAGGAGCATCAAAAGTTCGAGGCCAGCCTCAGCAACTTAGCAAGATGATGTCTTAAAATAAAAAAGTAAAAAGGGCTGGGAATGTGGCTCAGTAGTTAGGCACCCCTTGGTTCTATCTCCAGTACCAAATTTAAAAAAAAAAAAAAAGGACTTGGAATGCATCTCAGTGGTAAAGTGCCCTGTGTTCAATCCCTATGGCAATAAATAAATAAATCCCAGTTGTTATCCTCCCTTTTTTCTTTGTCATACTGGGGATTGAACCCAGGATGCTTTACCACCAAGCCACATCCCCAACCCTTTTTTTAAAAAAAAAAATATTTTTTAGTTGCCAATGGACCTTTATTTCGTTTATTTATATTGGTGCTGAGAATCAAACTCAGTGTCTCACACATGCTAGGCAAGCACTGTGCCACTGAGCCACAACCCCCAGCTCCCTTTTTATTTATTTATTTTTTATTTTGAGACAGTGTCTCACTAAGTTGCTGAAGTTGACCTCAAACTTGCAATCCTCCAGCCTCAGCCTCCTGAGTCACTGAGATTACAGATGTAGGCCACTATGCCAGGCTCACCTGACTTTAGATTGAACCCCTCATCCCTGCTATCAACTAATCCTTTTCCACCAGCCTCAGAATGAGCCTAACCTTTTTTTTTTCCTTTAGTACCAGGGATCAAACTCAGGGGTGCTTAACCACTAAGCAATATCCCCAGCCATTTTTTTTATATTTTATTTATAGAGACAGGGTCTCACTGAGTTGCTCAGGGCCTTACTAAGTTGCTGAGGCTGGCTTTGAACTTGCAATCCTCCTGCCTCAGCCTCCTGAGCTGCTGGGATTATAGGCATTCAGCATAATGCCCGGTGAGCCTAACCCTTCTCATAGCCTGAACTCTAACTCCAGGCTGTGGATTAATCCAACCAGTTAAAACTGCTTTCTGGGACCAGGGCTATAGTTCAGTGGTAGAATCTGTGCTTAACATGTACAAGACCCTGGGTTTGGTCCTAGATACCAGGCATACACAAATGCTTACCCTTGGTTGAATGTAGGTGGTGCCAAGCTAAGCCATCTGTATTAGTCAAGAACTAACAGCATCAACTAGTGAGGCTGGATCAAGAGCAATGTTATCCTCAGCCCCTGGTGGCTCCAAGAATTAGGAATTACACAGAAGGCCAAAATCTGATAGGGAGGGCTTCCCAAAGAGGTAATTGGGCCTTGAAACAGATCCCTGTCTTCTTTACAGCTGGAAGACCCTTCAGTGTTCCCGGCTGTGATCGTGGAACAGGTACCCTACCCCGAATTACTGCACCTGTACTCAGGACTGGAGCTGGACGACGGTCACAATGGTGTCATAACAGATGGGACCTTGTGCATGACACAGGATCAGATCCTGGAGGGCAGTTTTTTGCTGGCAGGTCTGTTTCCTTTATGGACAGGGAAGGTGTGGTAGAGAGAGGGGTTCTCTCTTCAGGGAATAGCAGCCCACAAAGGCTGAACCCGAGCAGAATAGGAAGGCCCCCAATGAAAGGGGGTGCCACTTCATAGAAAAGGAACCATCTTAATGCATTCACATACTGTAGATGAGATTGGGACAAGGAGGAGTGGAGATTAGCTGAGGGGGTGGAGAATTAGGGCAGGAGGTAGACGGCTTCTTTCCCAGCTTTCCAGTAGGGTCCCTGTGACTCCTCTACTTACTACTCTATTGACCTGGGCTGGCCCTGGTTCTAGCTGTATTGTGCCCTAAGAGAACTCTTCTCCCCCCTCCCATGGAACCTGGAATCAGATGACAATGAGGCCACTTCACATACCGTGTCAACCACTGAAGTCTTACTGAATGTGGAATCTCCTAATGATATCCTGGATGAGAAGCAGATCTGTAAGTTTGACCCCAGGGCCTTGACTCAAGGCAACACAGCTGCCTTTGAAAATGTTGCGTCCGTGTAGTGGATTCCGAGGCACACGTGCAGGCAGGCCTAGGTGCCGACACCCCACCCATGTGCATATGAACAGGCCTGAGCTGGGACTCGTAAGGCAGGGGTATGAGGGCACTGGAGACATGGAGAAAATGGCCAGGGTGACTTTTGGGTTTTTATCCAATATTTAACTTGTGGTAAAATATGTATTAAATATACCATCTTATTCATTTTTAGTTTTATAGTTCAGCAGTGTTAAATATATTCCCATTGTTGGGTAACCATCACTACCATCCATCTCCAGAACTCTTTGCATCTTGTAAACCTGAAACTCTATCCCCATTAAATGACTTCCATCCTCTAACCCCCATCCCCAACCCATAGCAACCACCGTTCTACTCTCTGGGTCTATGAATTTGACTACTCTCCATACCTCATTTAAGTGGAATCATACAGTATTGGTCTTTTGTGACTGGTTTATTTCACTTAGCATAGTGTCCTCAAAGTCCATCCATGTTGTAGCCTTTTCAAGGCTGAACACTGTTGTCCAGGGGGTTTGGGGGCCCTTCTGTTCTCTTACTTGGCTCCTGGGAAGACTAAGAAACACAGGACCTAGCTTATTGAGAATTGTAGGAGGCTTGGTACATCTTCATCCCTCCCCTGTTAATGGAGGCTAGACCCTAAGAGGTCTCAGATGCTTGCTGATCCTCCCTGGCTCCCAGCCCTCCAGGAGGTTCCCAAGGCAGATTCCTCCCAGCACCTTCTCAGGCAAATGCCCTACTGCCACAGGAAGGTTCCCCCTCAACTTCCCTTGCCCTAGGGGGTACTGTGATGCAGTGAGGGGAAGAAAAGCCCTGGATCTGAAAGGTAAGAGATCTCATCTTGCCTCTCACTAATATTTGGCCAGGATACCAAGTGCCCACATGTACCATGCAGCAATTTGCTGTAACCTTGAGCACAAATTTTGCCATCTTTGGATTGGTCTTCGTTTCCTCATCAGGAAAGCAAAGGAATTGGGCTCACTGGTTTCTAAGGTCTCTTTGAGTTATAAAATAAGTGAAAGATCAAATCAAGGGGGCCTGTTACCCTGTATGCTACCCAGAACTTTCCCACTGCTGGCAGTGGGCTATAAATGTGGCAGCTGTGATTGAGGCCAACTCATGCTCACAGCTCTGCAGATGTTTCTGCCCTTCATGGTACAATACTCCTGAGGCATTTTCAGGTATGACCTATGTCTAGGGCTGTGGGGAACAGCACACCAACCCTCCCTAGGTGCCCCCAATTCTTGGGTTCAGCAGTGCTGGGAGACCACTGTCCAGCCCTGCCTAGGCCCTGTCCACCTCAGACCTTTCTTCTTGCAGTCAGCACCTCTGAAATGCTTACAGACTCAGACCCTGCTGCAGCCATCACTCTGCCCAACTACCTGTTTCCTGCCTCTGAGCCCGATGCCCTGAATGGGGCTGGTGACCAGGAAGATCATTCTCTGGAGGGAAGGGTCTCCAGAGAGGAAAGTTCTAAGAAGACTGGAAAATCAAAGAAAAGAAGTAAGGAGGGCTGGGGTTGTGGCTCAGCGGTAGAGCGCTAGCCTCACACGGGTGGGACCCTGGGTTCGATCGTCAGTGCCACATAAAAATAAATAAGTGAAATAAAGGTATTGTGTCCAACTACAACTAAAAAATAAATATTTTTAAAAAGAAGAAGTAAGGAGAGGAGGGGTGTATGTGTGTCCCCAGGGGGTGGGCAGTGGGGCCAGGGAAACTCTAAGGGCTGAATGAGCTGAGGCTCACAGATACATTAAGAGGACCTTTCTCTGGTCTGGCTGAGATGGATTAAAAGGCTTCCCTTCTGTAAACCTGGCCTCATTGGTGGGCCTGCCTGAAGCCTGACAGTCCCCTGCTGCTTTTGTCTGCTGAGTATATGTGTAAACTCCCCAAATGCCAACAACCCCAGTGGGTTGAATCCTAGGCTGAGAGTTCAGACTTCAGGCCTGGACCCCTGGTCTGGCCTGGACCTCTGGGGCCTCTGCCTATAAAAAGTGAGTCATGCCATGTACTTATCTCCCTTCTGCAGAGCTGATGAACCCCAGCCATATATGAGAGAGGACTTTGGGCTTTCCCAAGCTCTGGTGTTATTGATTTACTCAAGATGATGGCTGGCTTATACTGTCTGTCTTATATTGTCTTAGATTTGCTGTCAACATGGCAACCAAAAAGCCTCAGCACCACACTGACCTGCATGACAGTGGCACTTGTGGGCTGTCTCTCCACTTCAAACATTTAGGCCAGGCACACCCTGTTCTTATGAAGGTGCCTCATTTGCAAGCGTTACATTTTCCTACATCCTATTGGTAACCTTGTTACCAAGCTACCTTAGGGGACTGAAAATGAGGGTACAGATACTCACAGGCTATGGCTGTAGAGAATGATTGGCCTCCAGCCTCAGTGTCCTGGCTCCTCCTGGTTGGTCCTATCACACGCAACTTGGCTAGCTCACCATAGCCTTAGCCTCATCCTGTTCTTTCACCTTTCCTCTCACAGTCCGGAAGACAAAGGGCAACCGCAGTACCTCACCTGTCACTGACCCCAGCATCCCCATCCGGAAGAAATCAAAGGATGGCAAAGGTATGGCTGAGACTCAGGGGAGGTGGGAAGGGGGCCCCATAACCTGCTGCCAGGGATCCTAAGCCGCCCCTCACCACCTTCCCCTCTGCAGGCAGCACCATCTATCTGTGGGAGTTTCTCTTGGCGCTTCTACAAGACCGAAACACCTGTCCCAAGTACATCAAGTGGACCCAGCGAGAGAAAGGCATCTTCAAGTTGGTGGACTCCAAAGCTGTGTCCAAGCTGTGGGGAAAGCAGAAAAACAAGCCTGACATGAACTATGAGACAATGGGGCGGGCCCTAAGGTAAAAGCTGCTGGGACACAGACTCCCTGCCCTAGGGGAGACACCAAGCTCTTCCCAAGGCATCTCTCCCACTTGAATGGAGGCCTGATCAATCCTTTAAGGAAACAGGTTTCATAAATCTCCCATTTGCTTGCCCCATGCCCCCTCTGGGAGGAAAAATCACCTGTTGCATCTCTGTCCTGGAAGAATAGTGCCCCCGCCCCTGCCACCAATTCTAAGAAGGGATTTCTTCACATTCTGTAAGCCAGAGGCCCAGAGAGATGGCCTTGAGTTGCCCCAGAGTTAATCTCTCAGGCTAGGGGACTGCTGAGTCCCCTGCCCCCTATCTCCTCATTCATATTGCTATTCTTCATTCACTGCATGTTGTCAGCCATGAAACAGGCTGGGGTTGACACTGAAACATCCTTTTAGTACAACCTTTAAGTCCACAGAGGGAAACCTCAGAAATGTCATAAAAACCTTCTGTGTATCCCTTCCTGGCCCCTGAGTCCCTACCTGGCTCCCTGACCAACTTCAGCCTCATGCCTGCCCTGCCCTGGAGGGTGGTGTGTTGGGGACATGGAGAGTGAAGTTCTCCCCACTCAGTCCCTGCCTAACTCCCCACTCCCTGCCCATTGTCCCCCAGATATTACTACCAAAGAGGCATCCTGGCTAAAGTGGAAGGGCAGAGGCTGGTATACCAGTTTAAGGAGATGCCCAAGGATCTGGTGGTGATTGAAGACGAGGATGAGAAAAGTGAAGCTCCAGCAGCACCGCCACAGGCCTCCACTTCCTCCACTTCCTCCACCAACACCACCCGGAGGGCCAGCTCCAGGGTCTCATCCAGAGCTGCCACCCACGGCAAGGGCAGCCCTTCCTGGGAGAAGCCAAAGGTTCAGCATGTAGGTCTGCAGCCATCTGCGAGTCTGGAATTGGGACTGTCTCTAGACGAGGAGATCCCCACTACCTCCACCATGCTTGTCTCCTCACCAGAGAGCCAGACCAAGATCACCAAAGCCGTGAGGTGAGGGTGCCAAAGTAATTATGAGTCTTTCCATAGTCCCTTGTGTTGGGGGTCAGTTTTCAAATTCTTGCAAAGCTCTGCACTGTCTGTAGTCTTGTGGGATTCTCATAGAACCCCTGGGAAACCAGTGGAGCATGTCAAAAGGAAAGGTGACTTGCCCAAGGTCATGCACCACAAAAACCCCAAAGCAACACTTGACCTGGGGGGCTTCTGCCAGTGGGGACTGTTCCTGTTATACCAGAGTGCACCCAAAAAAGCCATCAGGGGTTTCCATACCTGGGCCCATCCTGCCAAGCCTCTACTCATATGTAAGAAAACATTACAGATAGACCTGCTCTGCCTTCCAAGCCTCCCTAGAAAGCTCTCACTACTTCTTCTCCATGTCACTGGGACTCCAGTCTTCTCTGAAAAGGCTGGACTTTGAGTTATGTCTGCACCTCTTGCTACTTTGGTTTGGGTCCCTGGGATGCTCTTTCAAATAAGGGAGGCAGGCCAGGCACCGTGGTGCATGCCTGTAATCCCAGTGACTCAAGAGGCTGAGACAGGATGATGCAAATTCAAGGCCAGCCTGGGCAACTTAGTGAGACCCTGTCTCAAATTTTTAAAAAGGGGGCTGGGTATGTAGCTCAGTGGTAGAGCACCCCTGGGTTCAATCCCCAGTACTGCAAAAAAAAAAAAAAAAAAAAAAGGTCATGGGGAGGGGCAGTAGAGTGGTCTATGGGGCTACAACTTCTAGATGCAAATCCCAGCTATGTGGTATTGGGGCAAGTTGCATGACCTGTCTGGGTCTCAGTTTCCTCAAGCTGTAAAATCAGATTCTTCTTAGTTCATGGGCTGTTTTGAGGCTTGAAAAAAATGCCACATACCAATCATTTAGAATGACCTCTGACCTGAACTAAGTACTCAATAAATGTTAGCTGGAGCAACAACACATGTGCAGAATGCCTGCCACTCTGTCCCTCTTGTGCCCTCCTTCGTAGCTGGTGGCAGGGTACCTCCTGCTTTAACAAACTTTATTTTCTATCTCTTCTCAGTACTTCTTCAGTGCCCAGCAACATCCACCTAGGAGTGGCCCCTGTGGGGTCAGGCTCAGCCGTGACCCTGCAGACCATCCCGTTGACCACAGTGCTGACCAATGGGTCTCCTGCCAGTACTACTGCTTCCACTCAGCTCGTTCTCCAGAGTGTTCCTCCTGTGTCAACGTTCAAAGACACCTTCACTTTGCAGGCCTCCTTCCCCCTGAACACCAGTTTCCAAGAGAACCAGGTGGCAGCACCAGGGACCCCCCTGATTCTTAGTAGCCTCCCCCAACTGCTGGCTGGGGCCAATCGTTCAACCAACCCAGCACCACCCTCGGCCACAGGTGCTGGACCAGCGGGGCCCAGCTCTCAGCCCCCTGGGACTGTCATTGCTGCCTTCATCAGGACTTCTAGCACCACAGCAGCCCCTGGGGTCAAGGAGGGGCCACTGAGGTCCTCCTCATATGTGCAGGGCATGGTGACTGGGGCTCCCATGGAGGGGCTGCTGGTTCCTGAAGAGACCCTGAGGGAGCTTCTGAGAGATCAGGCTCATCTTCAGCCACTTCCAACCCAGGTGGTTTCAAGGGGTTCCCACAATTCGAGCCTTATGGGAAACCAGACTTTCTCTTCCCCTAGCCGCCCCACTGTTGGGCTGACCCCTGTGGCTGAACTTGAGCTCTCCTCAGGCTCAGGGTCCCTGTTTATGGCTGAGCCTAGTGTGACCACATCTGGGAACCTGCTGACTAGATCCCCAACCCCAGCCTCCTTCTCCCCATTCAACCCCACCTCCCTCATTAAGATGGAGCCCCATGACATGTAAAGGAAGGCATCACCAGTGTGACCCATCAGGTGAAGCTGAGCAGCATTTTCACACAGACTGACTTAAGTAGTGTACTTGCCCTTACATTTCAGTGGGATTCATTACACCTGAACCCCAGTCCCCCGGCCCTACCTGGCATCACCATGGCCAAGCTATGCTCACTTTGAGCATCCCTGGCAGCAGACCATGGCCTTCAGGAGCACTAGGGGATATGCTCTTGGCAGGATATTGGGCTGACTTGGTGATAGAGGGAAAACCCCTAAGCCAGGGAGAAATTTGGGGCCAGGGCATGGGGGGTTTGTGAGAAGAGTCTGGCCTGACTGCGTCTCACTGTCTACATTCCCTATGCAGGGAATTTAATATCCCGTATGTGAATATCTCTGTATGTATTTGTGTGTACTTGGGGTTCTGTATCTTCCGTTTTGGGGGGAAGATGGGGGTATAGCTGTGAGGTCTTCAAGGGGTGGTGTGTTCCTCCAAGGGTCAACCACAGAGATGGGGATTTTTTTTAAAGGAAAAGAATTCTGTAATTACCTGTTCAAGCCAAGATTTGGTTGCTCTGAGACTATAGGGTACTGGTTGGGTCCCCCAAACCTGGAGAGATGTCACAGAGCTGGGATGGGTCCAGGTAGGAGAGCTTCAGTGGGTCTGTGTGTTGCAGAAGAAACATGCCTAGGGGACAAGAAGGCTGAGTGGGATTGGACAACAAATGAAGAAAGAGAAGAGAACTCAGCACTGGATGTGACCCCCACAGGCTAGACCAAGACTCTTTTCCTAGAGTTTGCCACATTGCCTGCCAAAGTCATCGATGCTGGCAGGTGGCAAACTTGCCACCTCAAAGTGCTTTGCTGAAGGATTAGTCAGGGAAAAGCACACCTCTAGAGTCAGACCCAGCTACAGGGTCTCCAGTCAGGACTGGGTTGGTTGAATGTTTGTGCCCAGGACTTGAGCTGTTGGTGTAATACCATCCTTCCACCAGACAACAGCCTCCTCTGGCACACCACCCTAGTGCCCCATCCTTGGTTCCTTCTATATTACTTTTGACCCTGAGATTTTTCTAGCTGTCAGGCATTGCTGGGGCTAGTCAGTAGACAGCCCAGCCTGGGCCTGCCTCCATTCCTGCCTGTGGGCGTGTGCTGTGTAGTGCCTGCTCTGCAGTCTCTGCTGCCCGTCCTGCCCTCTCACCTCAGAGGTGTGCCAGCCCACTCCCACAATGCCTACCACAGACCTCCGGTGGGCTACTGCTCTTCATTTCCAACTTTTTGCACCTAATGCTGATTCCTTCTTCACCGAGAAGACAGGAGCCAGCAGGCATGAGTTATCTCCACATGGCTCCCTTTCTCTTTCTGAGGCTTGGGTGCCCTTCCCTTCTTTCTTCTTTGAATCCACTTGCCACTCCTGCCAAGTTTGGGGGCAAAACTAAGAAATGCCTGGAAGCAACTCTGGTGAATTTGGTTAATGTGAATCAGTGCCTCAGGACTTTTGCTCCGTCCTCGGCACAAAACCACCCACTTGATCTAACTACCTCCCCTGGCTGCTCTTCTCTCTTTCCTGTCCTTATTCTCTCCCACTCGCTTCTTCCCCAGAGAGGTGGCCATGCAAGTGCATTTACTATGTTTCTAGCAGTTGGCATTGAAGTGCCTTTTTCTAATAAAATCAGCTTATTATGGACAATTTCCTGATGGTTGATAGTGAGCATTTTAAGAAAGGGTTATTGTTTAAGAAAAAATTACACAAAGGCATAGCATGGATTAGGGGTGATCCTGCCCCTGACTGAAATGTGGCTTCTACCTGCCCACTCCTGCTCCACTCCATAGAAACATGTCATCTGAAGGTCTTCAGTACCCTATAGTGAAATCAAATATCTTCTCCACAGTTCTCGTCACAGTAGCTGGGCTCTCCTTCCCCCAACATCCTTTCTCCATGCCTGTGCCGGATCCTTATCTGACACTTCAAATGTGGGTGTTCCCCAAGGGTCTTGTCATTCTCACGGCCTGGCTCTTCTGGGTGAGAATTAAATCTAGAACTCCAGTGCCTGCTTTTTCTCCTGAGACCCTGGCTCACATGTCTAGGGATATGCTGAATGTTTCTCTCCAAATATCTGTCAACTCCTCTATCAAATGTGGAACTTTAAATTCTTTCCACACACAAAATCAAACAAAAGGCCATCATGACTTGCCAATGTCATGACTTTCTAAGCTTCAAATTTCAGAGCTATCTGATGGCTGTCTTCACTTGACCTTGTCCCCATCCCGGCTCCTGAAGTCCAGAAGGTTTGCAATGCCTCTCAAATCTGGCCTGCCTTCCTTTCACATTCCCAGAGCCTCCAGTCTGGCTCATACTACCCAGAGTTCCCCCTACTCCAAACATCAACACCCTGCTCAGTGTGATCTGTCTAACCACCTCCCATCTATCAGGACACCAATCCTATCCTTTCCCCACTAAAAAACCTTCAGTGACTCCTCCTGGTTCACAAGTAGTGGTGATACTTAACATATGTCCCCAATCCTTTCTAGATGCCCAGCATTAAACCTCTAGTTGCTAATTCATGAGGCAGTCCAGAGGTCCTGTGGGAAGAAAGTGGGAGTACTTGGAGAGCTCAGAGAAGGAACTCCAGAGGGATTTTAAGTCTGGTGTCAGCCCCACCTTTGGGCAAAGCCCAAGTCCTTGGCCCTTCACCATCTGGTCCTATCTAACTTTCCCAGTCCACTGACACTGCTCCTTCCTCTGCCCCAGTGGATTGATCTGTTGGTCTTTGAACATCCCTCCATTCAAAATTTCCCAACTCCATGCTTTTCCTTTACTGGGTTCTGCTTAATCCAAATGCTCTTCCTATCCCCTAGTACCAACATGTCTGTCTTCAAGACTCAATTTCATGGAAGCCGCCTCCCCAGACCAGCCTATCATTGAGTTCTTTTTTTTTTTTAAACTCATTGCATTTGCCACTCTTTAGGCAACTGATCATGAACAGCCTGTGACGGCTCCTCTATTACAATCAGAAACTGTTACTTAAAGCTTCAATGACCTGATTCTATTTAGTCTCCCCATTCAGTGTATTCCCTGATAGGCAGGGGGGACTGTAGCACACATAGAACAGGGCACACTACAAAGCAGATAAGCATCAACAAATGGTTACTGATAGAGCTGGTGGGAGATGGGGACCAAAGTTTTGAGGTAGGTTACCTCTGACCTTCCCACTGCACAGGCACTCACCCCAGGTGCTCCACTGCCCAGGGCCTGCCCTCCCTGGCTCAGTGCCCTCATGGTACCCCCACCACACCCCCATCTAAACACCCAAGACTTGTTACTACTTTCAAAGTCCTTTTCCCCTAAAGAAACTTCCCTGTCCAGTTTCTTTCCTACTTAAAGTGTTAAAACAGCTAATCTGATAAACTAATCTGTGCTGGTATAGTTATGGGAAAGGGCTAGAGGAGAACCTCAGGAGAGAGGTTCTTTTTAAACAGTTAAATGACACTTAACCAGTCATGGGACAACAACATCCCTGACTTTGCAATGTTTAAGGGAGTCAGGAGTCAAGCAATGATCCTCACCTCCCAGCAGCTGGTGTGTCACCACTTAGTCCTCGCTCCCACAGCACTTTGTATATACCTCTTATTGTAGCACATAGCACAATGTAGTTCTTTAATTATGTGTTTATTATGTATGTTTCCCCTCCAATAGACTGTGAGCTCCTCAAGGACAGGGACTGTGTGTTAGTCACTGATGTATCCCCCAGCGCCTAGCACAGTGCCTGGCACACAGTAGGTGCTCAATAAATGTTTATTGAAAGGATGGATGAGTCCTGATTCCAATTATGGTGACTTCTGCCCTATACTATGGCAAGCAAGAGGAGACAGAAGGATAACCCATACTCAGGAGATATGGCAGCATGTTGATCCATCATATAACACTGCAGGCATCTATTTCATTTGTCAACATCTGTAGCTATCCCATGCACAACAAGGTCCACAGTATTTCAGAGCTGTTCTCAGCTATGCTTTGCTGCCTATCACCCAGTGCCATAGGCTCTTGAACTGCCCTTTACCACTGTCTCTTTCCAGGGACTGCCTCACTATTATTTCCTCATGTCTGGGTGGGACTGAGTGGTGGAAATGCAGGGCCCCGGTGGACAAGACGGGACACTTATTCTGACGGCCACAAGCCTCCTGACCCCATCAAGTAATCTGAAAGAGCCAGTTGCCTCTGGCACCAAAGCTCCCCCTGCCCAGGCCTATGATGAGCCAACTTTTGCGTCCTGGGGTCCCAGTCTCCGAGAGCCTAGGCCCTGGCGCCCGGACATGGGGCCGATGTCCAGCAGGTGGCGCTGTCGAGCTGGCAACGGCGGGCGGGCTGCCCAGCGGCGCTCGGGAAGGAGGGGAGGTCAGGGCGGGGCCTACCGCTCTTCGAGGAGGCGGCCGCGGCCTGCGCCTTCCCGTACCTCGTCTGTGCCCCCGCGCCCCCAACTATCCCTGGGCAATTCCAGCCGAGGGCTCCATTGCTTTGGAGCTTCGAACTTTCCCTTCCGCCTCTGCCCCCTCCACTTTCGGAGGGGAATTTAGCAGTCCATTAACTGCCTTCCCCCTATTGGCCAATCGTGCTCTGGTCCCGCCCCCGAGCCCTCCCTCCCCCGGCCTTGCGGACCAGCAGGTGAGCACGCGGCGAGCCTGGCCTCCCGCGCTGCCCGCCGCAGGCTCTGGGACCACTGGAGCAAGCCCTCGGCCATCTCCACCGTCCCCTCTTCAGGGCCCCGCGTCTGTTCCACTCCCTGCCCCAGACTGCTTTTTAACTACACTTTTCACGCATCACCGCTTTCTACCTTGAAATCTGAGAGAGATCGAGGCGCCCATGACATCCATTTGCCCGCGGAGGGCCCTGTCCGCCTGCGGCGCGAGTCCAGGCTCCGGAAGGGCCGGCGCCAAAATGAGGAGTCCGCACCCAGAGTCCCGACGCTGGGGTGACCAGCCCCCTCTGCGGTGGAAACCCCACCTCTAGGGGAATACGTGGAGCCCCGGGCGACCCCATTGCTGGGTCCCTTAGGCCCGTGCATTTTGCGTGCCCCACTAGCAGCGATGCAGGATGCCCTTGGGCAGATTCCACCCTTCCTAAAACATGTCAAGACTGGACACTTAATACCTAACAGATTTCCCGGTTATTAGAGTATGGAGGAGGCAGGGATGTACTGCCAATTCACCCCTCCACTACCCCACATCATATAGTGATCTGAATATTGTCCTCTCAACCCTAAAGAGGAACATTCTGGTAAGATCATCATTAAACTGTAGGCTTGCGACCTTGACTCTGAGGAGGAACTAACTTCAGCTAAACAGCCCTGTTTTGTCCTCAGTGTGATTCTCATTGATCTGGAGGTCGGGAGAGTACCATTTGACAGATGGAGAAATGAAGGGCTGGGAAGATTAGGTCCTCAGTCACAGTGGGCCTTGGTAGTAAGTAGTGGTACTCTTTCCCACACTACAGTGGAAGGATTAGGAGACCATTTAATAAGAAGTCGCCTATGGAGATGTGTATACCTCCTGCCTTGATGATTACAACCTGGCAGAGAAGGGCAGTAGAACTCTAGGTGGAAGGTAAAGTATGAAAACAAAACTGTTTAGTTCCACTTTAACTCCCTTCCTTTCTTAGTCTCCAAGTCTTTGTTCAGATTGTCCCCAGTTCAAACATTCTCCCCTGCCACCTCTAATACCTACTTTTCTACTTGAATATTCAAGTGTCCATTAGGCATTACCTTTCCCAGAAAGTCTTTTCCAGCCACCCCCATCCCCTTAGCCCATCCCTTTGAGCTCCCATAGCATTCTGGGCCTAATTGAATCTTTACACTTAGCACCATGGCTTCTATGATCTACTGACATGTCTCACTGCTTAGCCACAAGTTCCAGAGGATGGACCTGAAATCAGAATCACTATGGGGTTGTTTGGGAAGATCACGGGATCAGAAAGCGGGTAGGGAAGGTCTATGAAGAAGATTAATGCTGTGGCTCAAAAAGGATGATGCCCCTCTATCTGAGCAGAATGACCCCGACAAAGAAAGCTTCTGAGGCTTGAGCAAGGAGAGCAGCTCACAGTTCACTCCTGGTGATGGCTGAACCAGACCAGACACACAGATCTCCTTACCTGTTCACTGCAGCCACAGCCTACTGGAGCCACAGCAAGAGCTTAAAAGGGGGTGAGAGTGGCTGGGAAAGACTTCATGGGAGAGGTGATGCCTATAGGATACTTGAATAAAGTAGAAATGTAGCTTAAAAGGCTCAGCTCAGGCCTCTCCAACATCCCCCTCAAACTGTAACCACATATTCTAAAGCCTGCAGTGAACAAATCATATTTTTTTACCCATTTTTCAGAAACAAGGAGAGTTGGGTGTGGTGGTGCACACCTGCAATCCCAGCAACTTGGGAAGATTTCAAGTTTGAGGCCAGCCTAGGCAACTTAGCGAGACTGTGTCTCAAAATAAAATCCATGATATAGCTCAGTGGTAGAGCGCCCATGGGTTCAATTTCCAGTATATTCCCCCCCCCCCACACACACACACACAAAAAAAAAAAAGTGGGAGAAGAAATTGTAAAATCAACCATGCCTTCAGAGTAGCTGGGTAGCTAGAAACCAGAACTGTAGAAGGCCAACACTGCAGGGTGCAGGGGAGACACTGACCAAAGGGCCAGGGCAGTGTGATCAGATGTGCAGCCAGGTGGGTGGTCCAGAGCTGGAAGGAGAGTCAGCAGGCAGGTGACTTTTTATAGGGAGGATCATTCCCCATAACTACTAAAAAGACGGCTCTTCCCCTCTGTCCTGATACTCTCGTAGCAAACACAATGCTTAGGCACAGCCTCCCAGACCAACACAAGGTAAGCCAGATATTCCGTTTTCCCCCCAGCCCAGCCCCTGGGACTTGCTCCTGCCTTTTCTTTTCAGATCACGACCCAGTGACCCAAATGTTCATGAGCCAGTGCACGTTGCCTTCACCCTCTGCACCCCTGGGGACCACAATAAAGAGGATCCAGGATTTCCCCATTTACTGAATCTAGATGCCCATCTTAACTCCTGAAAAGCCTCAAAGGGAAGAAGAGTAAAGAGAGAAAGGAGACAGAGGCCCTGACACAGATTTTTCAGTATGCAAGTGTTTTTGACTCCATAGCCAGTTTTGTTTAAAATGAAACATAAAGAGCAGCCAGAATACACACCCAAATGCAAAAAAGTAAAGGCAAACATAAAACAAAATAAATCACACAATACCATGAATCCCAACAAACAAAAAATTAAAATCCAAAACCCCTCAACTTTATATATATATATTTATATATATATAGTTTTGTTTTTTTTGTTTTTGTTTTTTAAAAAGGGAGAACAACTGTTCAAAACCAACTGGGCAGGGTGGTGGGGCTGGGGAGCAGTCCTACAGAAAGGGGGCCCAGAAATTCCCCCAGGAACAAAGAACAAACACAATACAAAGAAAATAACCACCAATGCTCCCGAATGGGTCAGGAGCCTCCAAAGAACAGATTGTCCCATCCTCAAACTGGCTTTTTTTTTTTCTTTTTCTTTTTTTTCTTTTTTTTTTTCTATTTTCTTCTTTTGTTGTTGTTGTTTAGCACCTGTACAATAAAACTGTACCATCTCCAACCAGAGCCAGCCATAGCAAGGCCCTTCTGCCTTTGGATGGTACATACTCTCTACAAGGATTGTTCGGAAAAATAGCAATTGGTAGAAAAATAAGAACAAGAGTGGGAAAGACAACACCACAGAGGGGGCGGGGACAGGGAAGCAACCCAAACTCTTCCCTCTTTCTCCCTGAACAGATCCAGCACTGGAGGCCCAGGGGCCCCGAGGCCAGACAGGAGGCCTGGTGGGGCCACATGTGCAGCCCAGGGCTCCAAATGGGAGTGGAGTCTGGGCTGGAGATTGGTCTCCTGCCCTTGCCTAGGGAGCAGCTGATGCCTGATTTCACATCTGGCAGTCAGTCCCACAGCCCTCTACAAAATCCAAAGGAGAATGGCAGAGGAGGGAGCAGAAAGGGGTGCTGCAAGTCTGGGAAGGGGCAGAGGTAGGGGGTGAGGGCTGGGAGATGAGAGGCTCAGTATCTTGAGAGGGGGAGGCCAGGATGGGGTGGTGTAGGTGGGGGTACAGGGGGAAAGATGCAAGAACACACCCATATTGTGCACTCTGAGGGGAGCTGTGAAGAAAGCGGGAGGAGGGTACCCTCACCCCTCAGACCCCTTAACTCCCCTTTATTAGAGTAATTGAAATGAACCCCTCACCCTACAATTCTCTCCCCAGTAAACAGGAATCTCAAGATGGGAGGAGAAAAACTGGCAGGGGGAGGGGGAGCACCAAAGCCTCGGGATTTACCCCCAGCCCCCCAGCTCTGGGCCAGCAGCAGCCAGCTTCCTTAATCACAAGTTGATGTCTCCCAACCCAGCCCCCTCCCCAGTGGGGAAAAGCAACCTGGGAATCACTCTTAGAGGGAGGGAGCAGCCCCAAAGCTTATCAAGAAAGAAAGAGAAAGGAGATAAAGAAAGAGAAAGGAGGTAAAGAAAGTCCCTCAATACAACAAGTTGTCTCAAATCGTCACAGTGATACAGACTTATCAGAAACCAATGGAACAATACAAATTAAATACTAATAAAATAAATACTATGGAAGACAGAAGAACACAGGGGGACGGAGGGGGGTGCTCAGATTTGGGCTTTTCTGATTTCTCCTTTGGACAGGCCGCAGCCATCCAGGCCCACATTTGGTCTTGGTCATGCACAAGGAGGCCAGTCCAAGGCACCCTGGCACCA